ATTTTTTATTTTATGTATAAATCTGAAATCTTTTCAGCTATTTTAACATCTAATTTATTTATGTCTATTTCCTTTTCTTTAACTATTCTTCTAAGTTCATTTGCTTTGATAAACAAATCAATGTTCCTGCTGGTCTCAGCTTCATCTGCTAAAGCATCTACTTCTTCATTAATATCTTTAATGTTCCTTTGAAGAAATTTTTTCTTCTGCTTCATATAATCAATTTCTTCCTCAATAATATTTCTTTTCCTCTTTGAATTTTCAGATTTAGTTAAACATTTTTGTTCTTCTAAATACTGCATATATTTAGACCTTGCAGAAGCTGCTGCTGATCTCATTTCTTTATTAATTTCGATATTAAGAACACCTCCAGAAAATTTTATGTAATCAAATACTGTGCATTGAAAAATGTATGATGAGTCACTTAAATTTTCAATTTCAATTGCTTTATTTACAGAGAAGCCCCTTTCCACAGAAGCCTGTCCATGTTACAAGATAAGAATCATTTCCACTATTTTCCATACTTTTGAATAGTGAAAATCATGAAAATAAGAAGCGAGAAATGTGTCAAGAGAAAGATTTTGAGGATCAAAAGTAGAAAATTTATGTAAATTTGTCTTAACTACTTTGTCTAGAAACTCTCCAAACTGCAGCAAAATTTCATCACAATCATCTTGTAAAACGCGTTTATTCCGCATTAATACCATTAGAACTATTTTCATTTTGTTCTGGGCTTTTTCTGGACTTTTAACCATCAACCGCGGGTCTATACAAGATGCATTTCGAATAAGAGAATAATTTATTGGACATATAGACATAAAGTGTTGTACCATTGTTAAGACACATTGTTGACCTTCTTGTTTCAATGCAAAACTTTCAGCTTGTGAAATGTCCTTCTTGCGGCATTTATCATTCATTAACTGCTCAGCAATGAATCCCAAATAAACTTTACTTTTATCATTATAACAATTTGGATCATTAAAATTAAATTTATAAAGATTTTCTGCTTTAGTTATTTTTAAATATTCTAGTTTCAAAATTTTAAAGTGCTGAAGGCATCATTTACAATTTTAAGATATCTTCAGCAAAAAAGGGAATAAGTGGTTTATCACTTTGATAATATTCAAGGAAAGGCAATAATATTTTCGACAGAGAGAGAAAAAAATTAAATTTTATAAGAAATGTTTATCTTTAGTTGCCTCCAAAATATTTAAGAAGGATTTCGATGAATTTTTTTTAAACTTCCCCATTTCAACTTTTTTAATGTACAGTAGCAAGTCATCCCGTATTTCAATGGCTCTTTCAACTGCTGGGACATTTTGCAACCATCGGTAAAAGCAGAACTTCACAGGTAGCTTTTTTAAGCCAGATATACCCAGACCTCGGACTTTGTACTGTATAAATACTATATATATTATATTCCGTATATTTTATATATATATATATATATATTCCGTATTATATATATATATAATATATATATTCCATATTATATATATATATATATATAATACAGAATGTATATTTTCAGTTAAACTTCTACCCAATAACTTTAGTAATAATTCATGAAAGTTAATTTTGCGTCTAGTTAATTCAGGTAAATTAGTTTCAATTAGTTGTTTTCAGCTTTAAAAATATTAAAAACTTTTTTAATTAGTTAGTTGTTTTCAACTAATAATTGTATTGCCATTAGCAAAAATAATGCATTGCTATTAACAGCATAGGATTAAACCAAATACTTAATTGTCTATTGAAGCTTCAAAACGTATTTCCGAACTTCACTTTTTCTCGGCTAGCGTTACCGAATTTGCCCTTGGCGACCTAAAATCGAAATGGAGCCAACTGATTTCCCGCGAAATCGATAACAGACCCTCTGCAGAAATTAAACTCATAATCCCGATATCCCATACATATAGTATGTGCAAAAGAGAATAAACTCCGTAGAAGGTGATAAAAAATTAATTTATGGCTTAATTGAAACAAACACAGAAAATTAAGCTAAGGAAAACCGTGTAAAAACAAATTGAAATGATAAAACGAAGCTTAATTTTCATGTGAATTTTCAGCGCCGACTCTCCCATTCTAGAAATTTTAATTTGTTTCAAAAACCACATTTAGCTTTATAAGGATTGTCATCCATCAATATCCAGTTATAAGGATAGTCAGCTTGATAAGGCCACAGTTTATTAAAAACGCACTTTCCAGGCATCTCTTTCCTATTGGCGTCGGAAGGGTTGTGGCCTTCCAGGTTGGGACTGCTCTAATTTTGGCAAATATTTTCAGAATCCCCCCCTTTTTTTCTCGAGCACCTTCATCATCACTTTCACCTCTTAAAAAACTTCCGGCTTCAACGCTTTCGTCACAATCTGCCTAAATTTATGGATAACACCTGTTTTGAAAAATTGGGTGAATAGCCAATTAAACACCGATACTTTCGTTCGGGTAGCTGTTTTTTTTTCTAGGTAATTTTTTTTTTTTAATCGTTTGCAACGCAAATCCGCCAACAGATTGGTTAAGAGCCGTGTAATTTTAATTCCATATTCATGAGAAATCGCAATTCACAATGAGAATGGCAATCATTAGAAATGATAAGAAATGTCAAATGAGCAAAATTAAGGACCGTTTATTCATTTTGGCCAAAATTAAGGACTTTTAAGGACCAAAAATCATTTTTGAAAAAATTAAGGACTTTTAAGAACCGTACGAACCCTGTTTAACGTATCTGGAGACACATCTTCCCAACGCGCATGCGCAAATCATACAAAAAAAAAAAAAAAAAAAAAAAAAAAAAAAAGTCAGTGACTTTGATGTCTGTATTATGGATCATTCCGGATAATGGACGCCCGGATTACAGACTTTGTACTGTATAAATACTATTGATTGATAGTTAAGCGAGGCTTAGAAGCCTACACCATGACTCATATGATCATTAAAAACCTTATCTTTCCTATTAAAAGAGTATTTTGAAAATTAAGCTGTTGATTTAGAAATCAAACAATAAAAATCAGCATTATATTTTCAAATTTTCACAGGATTAGTTTTGATGGTAGTCCTGTAAAAATTTGAAAATATAACGCTGACTTTTCTTGTTTGACTTTTAAATTAATACTTGTTTGGCATGTTATTGTATCTTAATTAAGCTGTTGGTTAGATACGTTGCAAGGCAGACAGGATCTTACTATCAAGCAAAAGACTAGAGCTAGAATATCCAAACTAGAGTAGTCTTAAAAAGGTCGTTTTCGTGAGCTGTTCAGCTGAACTTGTGATTAAATGGCAGAAAAAAGAAATGACTGTAACAACTAATTTTAGCAGCACCATCTAAAAATAACTAATTAAATGTGGTAGATGTCTACTACATCATTACCAGATATTCCATTCAGAAACATAGGAATGAAAAGATTCAGAAGGGATCAAAATTTAATTTCTGATTTGATCCCATAGAAATCAGGTTAAATAAGGCCACTTCAAACCTTTCTTTTTATTCAAAAACGTTTTTTAATTTTCCAAACAGTGTAAATACTTAGTTGTGGCTCATGGAAGATCTTGCTACAGTTCTTGAATTTTCCTGAATTCAAACATGTGGATCTAACTGTCATGAAATATGACCAATCCTGATATAGATGACTGCTCTTCAAACTTTATGTGCTTCAAATAGTGTTTAATGGGATATCATCATTGCAGTTCTGTAATACAAGTTATAGACAAGTTGGCTGCAGCATAGCTTTAGGTGATACCATTAACAATGATCTTGCATAGTCACAGATAGAAGGCAGCCTTCTGTACTGCATCTGGAACACAATATATTCATTTGAGATGCTGCCCTTAACCTGCAAGCAATACTTTGTGCAACTCCAAACTTCTTCACAACCCTGGTGATTGTAAAGTCTTTTGAAGCCTTTTCTCAATGTGCATAGTCCTTCACTATAGAGATGTCTTTGAAACATGAAAAGTTTTATGTTTGAAGATTTATTCTTTTAAATTCAGAATTTCTAACAAGTACAGTTTCTCAATAATGCTAATCTTTTTTTTTTTTTTTTTTTAAACCTTCTTAAGCCCTAAATACTTTTTAATGTTACTTGACCAGATGACTCCTAAATAAAAGAACCAGTTTTCATAATCACTGGGGTATGTGAAATACCATATTATTTCTTGTTTAGTTCATGAATCAGTCTTTAGGCTTAATAACCATTGCCCTTTTAAAAGATAATAAACAAATATACGAAGTTCCCTCCATAAACAAGGAATTTTTAATTTATAATTCTTTATGTGTGTGATGTTTTACAGAAATTTTTTATTGGATAATACTGATGGAAAAATATGAAAAAACATAAAAAGATAAAAATTTGAATATTAAAAAAAAAGACTACTGAATTTTCTCACTTGCAGTGCAGTAAATGGTACTTACGTATTAACGCAACCAGGCCAAAATTTGCATAAATTGCCAAATTTAGCGACCCTACTTATGACAACCCTACGTGTTATACATAGTTTTGTAAAAAGAGCATGTGGAGATTCACAAAATTTTCCTTCATTTTCGTGCAAATTTTTGTAATTTATGAGAAAATAGCAGTGTACATGGATAAAGTCAAGAGTGCGCGCAATGCCATTTTTGTGCAATTCTGGGATGTTTTTTTAAGTAAAAATAAGTCGACGTGTACATGGTTATGGTGAATACAGTTTTCAATCAGTGCTAAAAGCAACAGCCAAAAGATTTCCGCCGAAAAAATAATTCTGCAACTTATTCAAATTCGAAACCGGAAGGGTTTAATTGCTATTTTATATTTAAAAAAATAAATAAATAAATAATATAAAAAACTGTATTAAAAATTATATGAAATTAATAAATGTACATTTTCTTTCTATTCATACTTTTTTACTCAAACTTACAAATCGTGCCAACCTGGTTGCGATAATACGTAAGTACCCAGTAAATTACAGAAGAAGCACAATTATGCAGAATTTCCAATTTATACATTAAGAACCCCCTTTAATTCAGACATTTAGAATTCTACTATAAACATTAATGATAATATAAGAAAGTTAGGAACTAACCTTAAATTATATGCTGGTGGTGACACTTGTCGTAATTTCTCAACATCATTGAAAACTACTTGAACTCCACCTCCAGCAGATGGTATCACATCAGCCTGCAGATAAATATTTACAAAAGCTTTCACTGAGCAAAATAAAGATCCATAATGCAAAAGTTATTTCAAAATAAATATTCTTTAAAACTTAACTGTCTAAAAACATAAAAAACTTCTGAATACAGAGCAACAAAACTGCATATGCAATTTGCAAATATTTTTAATGCTTAGGCTAATTAAGTTATTACTAAAATTAATTATAAATCCCTGACAAGAAATCATTCAAATAAAATTAATCTCCTCTATCCCCTGAATTTTACAGTTACTATTTTCTGTGATAAGTGTATTGTCATTTTTACCTTATTTGTAATGTACAGTGTTGAGTCATACCACAATTACTATTTGTTAACTATCTGGAATAAGGCTGTTGCAAGGAACATTATAGCCAATCATCATTGAACAGACAAAGTAAGTCAATGCAAATTTATGGGCATATTTTTTCACAGCCAGGCATACTTTTATAGATTTTGTACTGCTTTGCCAGCCGAAAGAGACTGGTCACGTGATTTACTGATCGCTCCGATTTGTTTCTCGGAGTGAAAATAGAGAAGATGGGTAGCTGCGGATGAGTTCTGTTGTGCAATATAAAGAGTCTCTTGCTTAAATGCCGACAAGAATAAATAAAAACAAACAACGTATAAAGGGGAGATGCATAAAATGGAAAATTACTGAACAAAAATCAGTTTAAAATTATCACGAAAATAACATACACACACACAGAATAAAAGACACATCTATAATAAACTTTTAGAATTTATTTTAACAATTGTAAGCTAAAATAATTGCTGTAAACATGTCTGAAAAATTAATTACACTAATTATTTACATTAAAAATTAATTATTTGCATTGAAGTCTTTAAAATAGTACAAAATTAAAGAATTTCTTACTTTGGGTTTCATTAAGCAATTATGCAAAAACAATAATAAAAATATTTCAGTTGGAAATTCAACCTTCATTCTCTGTCGAATCGTCCAAAAAACATTCTGAATCGTCATCATCATCCAAGGAAATAACTAAAGAGTCGCACATTTCTTCAAGTATACTATCTTTTTCCCAGTAAGCGTTTTCCAAGCTTTCTACATGTGCACAATAGTTCTTCCATTTTTCAATTGTAACATTTTCTATAGCGTGTTCAGTAAGCTTTAAGAGTTTTTCCATGTTTATATCTGCCGTTATGTTTTGTGCACGAATAAAATGTTTGATATCTGCCCAAACATACTCTATAGCATTTATGTCACAGTGATATGGTGTCAGTCTCAATGCTGTGAATCCATGTTCTTCTAACATGACATCAAATTTATATGTTCGGATTATTATTTTTCAGAGGCAAATGTTCTTTAACAATGTTCAACAGTTCGATCTTTCGTATATTTGGTGAGCACACAATATTGTTTGAAGTAAGCCAATCCATTATACTCTGCTTATTATGAGATGAATTTGGGGGCTTGTTCAGTTGCACTGAATGGTAGGGAGCATTGTCTATTACAACAATGGAATCCTTTGGTAAATTCGGAATCAATTTTTCTGTTGCCCATTTCTCAAATATATTCAAATTCATTTGCCCGTCTGTGGTAATCTCCTGTGCTACAATTAGCTTTATAAATTAAGTTTGTGTTTGGAATAAATCCCATTTCCCTACCTGCGCATAAAACAATGATTCGCCTCGATGCTGCTCCCGTCTCTACAGCTCCAAATACTTCCTCCGACTGCCAACATTTTCCAACATGTCAAATTACTATCGACCCAAGTTTCATTTACGAAAATAAGAGGCCTTTTCTCTTTTTTGAATCTGTGAATATTTCTCAAATATTTCGTTCGTGAAAGTACTATATCATTTCGTTCCATGATGACTTTTCTTTTATTTTTACAATTTGTCCCGACTTCCTTGGATAGACTATTAAATTGTAAACATTTTTGCTGTATTTCATTTAAACTTATTTCCTCAAATTATTCCAACTTAATTTACTGATCTCTCAAGGCAAGTTGAAAAGGATATCAAACATTGCAAATTTTGAAATTAAGTATCCGAGTCAAATGAACAGGAGTCAAACATCCTTTATTTTTATTTTTTCATGTACAGGAACTGAGAGACTAAATTAAAAATTTCCTTATTTGCTAAAAGTAAATTTTTACTTTCTTGTACGGAGTAAAAAGGAAGTATCGTAATCGCAAAAAGTTTCAGGCATCATATTTCAATGCAAATATCCATTTTCGTCGCTATCGAATACAATTCAACGATGTTTTTGCGTGACATCTGTACGCAAGGACAGGATAAAGGACTCTTTTCCCCCCAAAAAAATTGTAAAAGTAATTTAAAATGAAGTCTAAAGAAAATTTTTCGTGCCGTCTGTTCCTACGTATGTATGTATCTCTCATAACTCAAAAACGAGTAGCCTCAGAACATTGAAATTTTCTGCTATAACATATAGATGAGCACCTCATATTTTGGTTGCAATCGGCTGCACAAAAAGTATATAAATACATGTATATACATATCCACTCTGTTACTCGTCTCGGCGATCTATTTCTTTATTTTCATATGTTTGTATATTGTGCATTTTATGCTTTAAAAATGATTGAATTATGTTCTTATCTTCCGGTTAAGGTTTTTATACCTTTAGTAAATCTGTATGCACACCCGTGTGTGAAAGAATAGTCCCAATGTAGCTCATGCATGTCGTAAAAGGCGACTAAAATGGGTACCCAGCATCTGGGGTATAGTCGGGCACCCTGCCCGATTTTATTTTTTTTTTTTTTTTTTTTTTTTTTTTTTTTTTTTTTTTTTTTTTTTTTTTTTTTTTTTTTTTTTTTTAGATTATTATAGTATTTGAATAGATCATGTGGCAACGATCAGATAATTCTTGATGTAAATTTTGTGCATTTTGAGTTAAAAAATGAATGAAATGTAACGCTGTTAAGTAAACCTAGGGCCAGAAAAAAAAAATCATAAAAAAATCTTTTTTTGAATCCATTTTAGCAAAAACAGTCCTTTACTCTGTCTATATGTACATACACCCAACTCTTTTTTTTTTAATGGTAAATACATTTCTTAGAAAACAGCGCAAAAAACAAATCATATAAAAATACATTTGTCAAATGGTAAATTTGGAGATATGTGCCTCAAATTTAAAAAATCGTGAAGGATTAAAAAAACTTAATAGTTTCCAAAAAAACTGTGCAAAAAAGTAATAATGAAATCCATATTACATATATATAACACAAAAACAATTTTTATTACAAATATATATATATATATATATAAATTAGCGTGCAGTGAAAAAGTACAGATTAGAAACAGATTTTTTTTTAAAGTTTTTTAACAAAATTGTTTGTCTCTTCAGAATATTCTGTTGTTGTTTAGGCATTTTATTAATAAGGATACTAGAACTTTTCTAAACCGAAAATTTAACACAATATTACCATTTTAGTAGTAAAAATATTATCATCAATACAAATTATACTGGAAATTTCACCATCGAATTTAAAAAAAAAAAAAAAAAAAACTTTAACGTGAGCATCAACTTTTAGAACTTTACTGAAATTTTTTATCGCATCCTCCGAACTGAACATTTTAACACTATATAATGAAATGCTGAGTTCAAGTTGAAGTACAATGAGATAAAAGAAAAAAGTGATAATAAAATTTGGGTATTCTCTGTAACGACCGGGATACAAAGTAAACAAGTTATGAAATCCTTTGACAAAACAGACAAAGTCACCAAGAAATAGACCACACTGTCGAAATTAAAATAAAAAAGGGGGGAACAAAAAATTCATGTAAAAAAGTGTACTTGTTTTCTTGTTGGTGAACCCTATTATTTCAAAACCGTGTAAAAAAAACAGGAAAAAAAGCATTCAAATGAATTTGGGAATGATGAAAACGGATATTTCTGTTGAAATTATTTGCTCTTACAATAAATACTTCCTTTACTTCATACAAGGAAGTAAAAATATCTGATGTATATACCATATGATTTCCTTCTACTGAATATTAAATTATAAGCACTTTTTCCTGCATTTCATTTAAACTTATTGAATTGAATTAAATCTACTTTGTCGATAGTACATAAAACACAATAGAATAAATGCACTCTTTAAAATTCATATATATTTACTACAGCGACACTCTGGCGCTAGGTTCACTTAACAGCCTTACCTTTGTTTCATTTTATAACTCAGAATGCACAAAAAGTATATCATCTGATCGTTGCCACATGTTCTATTCAAATACTCTAATAAATTTAAAATGATGTATAAAAGAAATGAAACAAATATAAAAGAAACAGTTTTTCACAGACGCCGCCCAAGTCAGACTGGCGACAATATTTGCTGCTAATACTTATTTCCTTGAATTTCGTTAAAGATATATTTCTCGTTCAATTAATTCAGTTCTCACTTCACAGAAAAGTACATAAAAACACAAAACATTTTCATTAAAAATTGCAAGATATAGGAAACATGATACATCAAATACAGTAAAAACAATTTTAAAAAAATTATAATTAATTTGGGGGAAAATAGAATCCTATATTCTGTCCTTACGTACAGATATCACGGAAAAAATATCGTTGAATTGTATTTGATAGCAGTCAAAATGGATATTTTTGTTGTAGCAGGAATTTTTCGTGATTACAGTACTTTTTTTACTTCGTACAAGTAAGTAAAAGGGAATTAAATTGGTGATCAGTTAAAGCAAATAAATGTTAACTACTTGCCTATACAACAGCTAGTAGGTTCATATTTTATCAGTTGGAACACACCCTTGTGTTCAATTCAACTGATTTGCAGTATATCAATTAATGTGAAGTTTATGACACAGCAAATGCGAAATAAAAAATGAAGCTTAGCTTCATATTATATGTGGCAGTTTTTTAATAGACTATTAAAAAAAATTCCTGTTTATAATTTACGTTTTCAAAAATATATTACCTTATAGAGCTGTGTTTCTACTTCTCCCTGTGAATCCTGCTCTTGATGCTCAAGGACATATTTTGAGACATCAGACTTCATGACATCTTTTACTTCTAACTTACTAACTGATTTCTTTTTCCTCATAGTAGGTTGTAAAACAGTGTCTAAAACAAAACAAAACAAAACAATTACTCAAATCCCGATTATAGAGAACTTAAAAGAAAACAGGAAAAGTAATTTATGAGAGGAATACAAAATTACAAAATTATGACTTATTACAGATTTTTAACCATTTCTGTTTCAAAATAAAAATTTGCAAACTTATCATAAGAACAGCACTGTAAAATACATGCTTATACTTAATATAACTAGAACTCCATCATGACACAAATTCACATTTCAAAGAAAGACACATTTTAAAAATAAAATTTTTAAAAACTGTATCCAAATAGTTTTTATTAACTGCAATAAAACTGAAGTTATGTTGCCTCATTCGAGAACATTAGAGTGATTTTCTACTAACTGCAATACTAAACACGGATGCCTATCTCCACAGCAGAATAAAAAAATAAAAAAAAAATCTGATTAAAAAATTACTGCTTACATCAGCAATTTCCAATTTTTTTTATTCGTGGAGTCCTTTTTAGAATCAATATGTATGGCAGAGCATCTTGGGCCTATTATGTCTTACAAGTTAATAATATTTAGAAGTAGCATTAAGAGGGAGGGAAAAGACAAGTATTAAAGGAATGTAAAGTAAAAAGGTATCTAAACAATAGTGCAATATCTACAAAATGAAATTACTTTTGAAGCTTTGAAATATACAATAATAGCTCTACAAACTATTATCCATGGCTTTGTCACAATTTTGCCACATAAAAAATTATTTCACAATTCAAAGCATTAGTATTATTAAACCAGATTATTGATGACAGCAACAATAAAAAGGATTCATACTATAAATATGGCTACTTCAGTTTAACCCTTTAGGAGATGACGTGCCATTGTTCAAGACATTCCCTTGAAACGGATGGTATCAAAAGGAATTATCCCACAGGATAGCGGTTTTGTGTTGCTAAGCTTAACTTTAGAAAGAGAAAAAAAAATCTTAAGTTCTAACATTTTTTATTATTACCTAAGATATCATATACATTAAAATTAGCATTGAATAACCTTTTTCCATTATTTTACACATATATATAAGGGTGACACAGAATAATGAGAATTTTTGAAATGGCTAGTGGCAGCCACGAGCAGGTGGCAGTACTGTGGGACAATGACCAAATGGTGGAATTGCCAAAACTGTGCCTAGGTCTGTTCATGATTAATCCAAATATTTTTTAAATATTTTTCAAATGCCTTTTTTTCCCTCAACTACCTCTTTTTGCCAACTTGCTCTTTTTATTTTTAATTAGAAACACATTGCAAAGTGCTAATAGGCATTATAAAAAATTTATCCATCCATGTAATGTAGATATTCCGAATTGTGTAAGCTTTCGACCTTTTTTTTTTTTCACTATTTCCTTTCATTCTGCCACTAGAATTAAATTCTTGTATTTTTACACTGCAGATACAGTCAAAAGTCGTTAATTCGGACACCCATAATCCGGAATGATCTATAATCCGGACCTCAAAGCTAAAATCTTTCTGCGCATGCGCCGCATTAACGCATGCGCATAGGCGTTTTACTCGTGCGCGCAAGACATTTACGACTGCGCATATGCGTCTGCGCAAGTGCAGAATACGTTTTCGCGTGCGCGTTTAACATATAACGGACGGTATCAGCTAAAATTATCTATTTCAGTTAATGTTGATGATTGCGTTGTTCCTTAATCTTCGAATTGGATAGGGCTTATTATTTTTTGCAGACTGTAAAAGCAATTTTCTAAAAGTAAGCTTGAACTTTCGATTATGTCAAATAGAATTTCCGATGCTGGAGCTCCCAAAGGATCTAGAAAACGAAAGTATGTTTCGATGTCCATCAAACAAAAAACGAATTGCTACAAAAAATGGATAAAGGCATATTCTTTGTTTATCTAACCGTTCCGAAATCTGTTTATCAATTTCACGCTGCTCTGAGCGGGGGGGGGGGGGACGTCACGGCGCGCAATTGAACTCGGAAGTTGATTTGTTCAACACTATTCGTTATCTTCAGGGCAGATGTTTTTATTTTATTTGGCTTATAATTCCTTACTAAATGTAGTATTTAATTTCGATGTACTCCGTCTTTGATATGATTTAAATCAAATTCCTCGTCATTATAAATATCACGAATACAAATCAAATAGTTTTCTGGTTGCAATTTTCTAATTTCGGCTATGCGTAAGGTATGCTTTACGCATCCGCGCGTTGAAAGAATAATTTAATAAAGTAAACAAATAAATATTAAGCTTCTTTTTTGGTAAATTTTGATACCCTTTAGATCATAATTGCTCATTATTTTATAAATTACGGTTTCATATTTTTAATTTTATAATTTCTGCATGCCATCTTACCAGATTTAAACTGATGATCTATAATCCGGAAAAATCGATAATCCGGAATCGCCGAAGTCCCGACGAGTCCGGATTAAAGACTTTTGACTGTACAGCATTACTACATACATAAGCTATTAGTGATAAAGTTACATACCTTATCACTGATCATTGAAAAAATAAATTATGACTGAGGGATGCTTGCAGTGTGTCATAATATAATATACTATTACGTAGATGTCTCATTTCATTCCTTATATTTTTCCCCCCTCCTTTTGCAGACATGTCACAAAAACAAAATGATTTTGTGAAAGGCCTACAGTATATACAACCCTTTGTACCAAATTATTTTACAATTACTATCATCAGGGTCACAAACTAAATGAAATTGTATTTAAATGTTATGAACACAGCTTAATCACTGGCTTCAGATTCACAGAATATTTGTAAGAAATGTATCTTACAAATAGATTCTGTAGCTGTTGATTAAATGTTGTAATTTAATCAACAGCTACAGAATTTCCACTCTGTAATTAAGAAATATTTTTCCAATTCTTTTTGGCTAAATGAATTTACAATATTTTTCTATTCAATAATAAAATATTTAGCAGTATGATGAATAAATTAAAGTGCATCATTTCTGTGATAAATACGAGTATTTATCATCATCACATAGTCAGAAAAGATCAATCTTACACAAAAACTATACTAAAAGATTTAGTTTTTCTTTTTTCTCACAATTTATGAGGAGCGCTTTAAACCTGCAAATTTTAACATCTGCAATTCAAACATTTTATTACTGTGTACAAAATGTTAAATATATTAAAACATAATCTCTTATTTGACATATCTTTGAGAAATAGTCAAATTTGTCAAAATAAAATAATTATAAATCAGATCAAACATCATGCAAAACATCAGCATCTTTGATCTCGAAATTTTCCGCAACAGACAAAAGTAGCACAACTGGCCATTCAACTATTTAAGTAGTGAGAAACGGAAAGGTACTGAGGGATCCAAAATATTTGCTTTCACATGTTTCATATTATAAACAATGGGATTATGTCACAAATGATGCAAAGCTAAATTTATCAAATTGCCTTTCAGAATGCAATTTCTATTTCTTTAGATTTGATTCAATTTTTTATTTCTTATTCTTTAGTTTCATCAATTCTTATTTATTTTACTTTCTTGGAATAACCACAGAGCACTGTAAAGTGCACAGATTGGGAAACCACTGGCTTAGATTATGAAAACAGGTTACTAAAAAATAGTTTAAAAACAAAGTACTGCTACACATTAAGAAATATATATATAATTCATACAAATCTTCTCATTTTATTTATTGCATTAAAGCTGAATTCTGATTGAAGATTTTTGCACTTTATATTAAAATATTTAATTGATATCAGAAATTGCTTAACTTTCCTGAAATTTTTTGTTATATCAGATTTTCTGCAATAGGCATGCTCCTACACAGAATATTAAAAAGAACAATTCTTGGGGTTATTAATCTCCAGTGATTCTAGTTCTACAGAAGTTCATCTACTAGAAGTTTGCTACTTCTATTAACTATAAAACAATCAATAATTATTTTTGTAGTGCTTGTAACATGAGAACTTTGTATTCTATATTATGCTTTTCATCAATATTTATTAAACTCGATACTTATTAAAATATATGTGACAGTTTCAGAAATAATATTTTCTTCTGGTAATTCTAGTAGTGTGTTGTTTTAAATAAGTGAGCTTAAAATGGTTTTACCCTTGGAAGAAAAAAAAAGAGCTGATGTAATTAGGAGTTAAGAAAGTGAAATTTCTTATCAAATGTTGTAAACAGGCACGAAAACAAAACTAATCACTGCAAATTGGTACTCAATTCGATATCTATAGATACCACAATTTAATTAATCTATACATACCAAAAGTAATTTAATACAGACTTGTATTTATTATTTTTAGTCCAAAGGGGCAATTTGCCCAGAAAGACTATTAATTTCATTTTGGCATTTTGCATCGATTCACGATAAGTGTTGTTTCACTTTTCAAATTGTTGCCACCAAATATTATTGCTCTGTTTTACACTTAAAGAAGTTAAATAATGAAGAATCTGCATGAATGTATGCATTTTCTTGTATAGTAATAAAATAACAGTACCCAGAGCCATAAAAATTTGAATAACAATCTTCTATAGAATATGGGCATGTGAAAGCCCTAATTTGAATTTGAAATTTGTTTTATTATCGATTTCATATTTTGTAACACTTCAACGAATTTTTGATTAACAAACTAAACGATTTCAAAGCGAGCAATGGCAACACTGTATTTTTTGGGGGGGGGACATTTTTATCTCCAGTGCACAAGACTCTGTATCGGAAATTCTAAAGATATGCTCATTTTAAATTATTTTGCAATATTGCTGTTGAACTGCATTTTATGGTTTGAGTACGAAAAACATGATATTTAATAAATAAAGGTAACACAAAATGTTAAAAAAAGCCCCTTTGAACGTAATTTAAAATCTGAAACCATTCAGATTTCATTTTATTCAAAACAATTTAGTTAAAATGAAATATGTAAACATAACAGAAAATTCATTTTTAACACACACACTGTTTAGCAAATGCTATTCATGGTGTACCAAATGCATTACCATAATCATGCCTGAACCTGAAGTTTTCTAAATATATGACTATAGATGACGGTGAGGTGTAACCCTGTGTGTTTTTTGTTTCAGAAGGGGGGGGGCGATTCCCATTGTCCTATTTTCTGGTTTAAACATCCTTTTCCATCAAAAGTAGATTGAAATTAGTGAGCATATTAAAATATGAAATTAGTGAGCATATTAAAATATTTAACAAAGCTAAACTGTTACATTTTAAAAATAATATTTTCAAAAGCTGAGAAAATTTAAACCATGTGCATACACACAAATCAGTAACCCTGTTTCTTTCCAAAGCAAAAAGATGCATATGAAATACTCAACAAAATGTTGTCATATCTGGAAAGAAAATTTTCACTAGCTCAAGAAATATAAACAACATACATGTACAAATCAGTAACTGTGTTTCTTGCTCAGGCAGAAACACATCAGTTTGTCCCTCTTGCCAAGGCTGTTATGAAAGGGAAACACTTAAAATTTTGCTATTAATTGGACTTGTCTGCTTGAAGACATTTAAACTGAAAATATAACATTATCTGTCCCCTAAAACACAAATTTAATTTTAATGCTCACTTGAAAATTTTGCTTTCTAAATTACTTTTATTATCAGATTTAATCCATGTTGACAAAATAATTTGTTCATAAATTACACATTTTATTTTCTTTAAACAAATCCAAAAGATATTAATGTATTTTAAAAAGAACTTCTTTTAGTTAAAAACAAGACAGTTTAAGGCTAATAATAAAAATCTTCAAAGAGTCAAAAACCTGTAACAACATGCTTATGATAAAGCTTTTTAAAAGCAAATATCTCTTGCTTGTTTGTCTGGATGTACAGTGTTATAAGACTTTTTTGGAGGAAGTCTTGAGCAAAACTGTGGTCCAACAGGTCCAGCAGTGGCTATACCACTGTATGTGGTTCCAGTATGACAGGGCCACAGTCCATTTTGGCTGCGACATTTGGGAGCATCTAAAGATCTGGACACCAGTGGATCAGGCACAATGGCTCCTTTCATTTGCCAGCATAGTCGCCAGATTTATCCATACATTTTCCCCCCAACTAGGGCCACAAGAAACGTTTAGCGCAAGATATATCTAGCACCAACAAGAAGGATCTCAACACGAGCATTTGGATATTTGCCATGGTGCTGAAAGATGCCTTAAATATTTCCAAACATCTGTGATTCCAGACACCATTAATGTCAGGCATGTATTTCAGCTTGTGGATAAAATACCGAGCACCTTCAGAGATATACCTTAACCCGCAAAGACGCGCGCTACTTTCAGCTACGCGAAGATGCACGTCAGGCTCCATAGGCTAGAAGCATTTTTCTTAACAAAACAAAACAAAAAATTGCTTGTGTAATTGAAGAAAAACATTATAATAAAAAAACAGAGTGTATAAAATATAGAAATATACTTTTAATTTAATAAGTCTACTAAAATTGTATTTTAAAACAATTTTAAGACTGAAATTATTTATCATTAACAACAAAAATTAAACTGATTTCTTCTTGGGTGCAAATGAAATTTAGTACTAATTTATGTAATATTAAATTTTTACAGCAATAATTTCAAAATAAAACTTATATTTCACATTTTTTTGCAAATAATTGTGCTGTGTTTACCACAAACATTTTTCTTGCACATAGCGCAGAAAATTTGTGATTTTCGGTCCGTTACGCTAAGACTGTAAACGTTTTTGCAATTTTCAATGAACTTTTCAAAGCCATATCTTATCGGAGCCAGTTTATTTATTTCCCTTCTAGAAAAGCGATCTCTTATGTAATCAAATCTCAAACATCTCATTAGAAATTTAAAAAAAACTTTTATTAGGCATTGTTCGATGAAAAATGTCATGCACTGGTCGGTCAGTCACCCAAAGGTTGAGACATTTATGTTAGAAGCCTTGTGGAGTTCTTCAAAATAAAGAGGACCGATAAATGCTCTAATTTCTGTAATATTTGTGGATCAAGCATCTCTCTATCTTTCAAATTTGATGGCGATGAATACGATATAAATGTTTGCACAATCTACTAGAATTTTTACTGTTATTTTATCGATAAGCAGTTGCCAAGAATTCATAGGGGAGGACACAAATTTTGCTTCACAAACATTTCTGAGCAATTTTCTCACAATGCTGTGAGCAAGAGTTCTCACAGCAAGTCTTGGTTCTTTTTTATTCCGTTCTGTCACATTATATTTGTCAAGATAACAATTCGCTGACGGACACAAAATTACTTAATTCATTACTAGATTTATCGCTTGAGTCTAGCCTCTTCAGAATTCGATTAGTGATAATTAAACTGTTCTTCAAAAACTATTTCTTCGTTCTCTTCATTAATTGTATCTTCATCAGTCGACACTTCGGCTAATAGCTTCTGTAGTCCTTTCATTTAATCCACATAGCTCAAATAGCAAGACATTTTTGCAACTGCCTGATCTCTTTCACAATTTTAAATGACAATGCGAGCGCGCGCCTCGGGCCTGGGAAGCCCAGTTACTCAGTTTCTGAGGAAAGATGAAGGGTTAAATTCCGGAAATGCTTGTGAATGACAAGCACATGATCTTAAACACAGCTACTGAGAAGGTCGAAAAATTTCACCAAAGGGAGAAATTTTTGTATTACGTTTTTGTAAAGAGCGGACCTCGCTGCCCCGACGCGCGTTCTCGTGGGTTAACAATTGTTACATTAAATTAATAAAATAACTTCACTTAAACTTTTCTCATTTTTTGTTTTCTCTGCACACTTGTGCATGACAGCTGTTTCTGACTCTGCATTGTTATTTGCTCCCGTATGAACTTTGAGTAACTGATCCCTCTCAGGAGTTTGCACATCTAGTACTGTATATGTGTGCATACATATATTACATAAACTACAGTGGTACATAGTATGTATATAGATATATACATAGTAAGTTTTGTTAATTCAAAATCCCAATTCAGAAGAAATGATTTCTAGAATATTTTTGATAATTTAAATAGTCTCACTTTATCCTATCAGCTTGAATTACATATGTATTATTGTGAATAAATTAAATAAATTTTTATAAGGTACCTGATAAAATTTTTTATACAGAATTTCTGATCTTAAAAGTTTTTTTTTAACAGAATCAGTTTAATATGTGCCCTATACAAGGTACAAATACATTTCATGTGTAAACAATGTCACAAGTAAAGATATTTTAATATACAAAATGTAAGCGTACTTTCAATAAAAAACAATTTTTAACTTAGTCTAAATATATTAAGACACTTTTAGGTTATATAATATTAAAGGAACATAAAGGATCAAACCATACTTAGTTCAAGATTTCCTACAGGTTTGTGTTCTATCCATACATCACCAGAACTGGACTGAGACCTTCTGTGCCGGGGATTTGCAATAGCTATACTCTAAAAATAAAGAATGTATCACGAAAAAGCTGCTTAAAGGTCAGAAACAATATTATGGATGATGAAATATTTTGCTATAATTTGTGAATGAAAATCAAAGCATAAGGTGATAAAATATATCCAAATATCAAAACAGTCTAAAAGAATGAGACTAGACAGATGAAAATTTAGGCCATTAACCTAATTCTATGGTCAGTGAAAACTTCAACTGATGCCTGAAATATTTTAGCATTAGCAATATCTGCAGCTTAGTTTTCAGTTTTTCACATTTCTTTGATAGTATCATAGGCATCATGCATCTAGACTCACGGTTGTTGCCATTCCAGGAGACACAAGAACTTTGTCATCCACGTATCTTGGCAAACTCCCTATTCTTAGATGTGTTGCCATTTAGAAAGCCATAAGATTTTAAAGATTTTTCAAATTAAATACATGACTTAATTATTCGAGTGATTTTAAAGTAATACAAATATTTCTTAATTATTTATACCTTTGTACATTTATCAATACATCTTCAAGGCAATTTTTGACAAATTTATTTCACATGGCTTATTATACATTTAATTCACAATTTTATTAACCTTTGCTCCAGTATTATAAATAATTAAAAATGTTAAAGTATGTTATGTCACAGAATAATTATGTAACACTTAAACAAAACAAAAAAAAATTAAGCACATTTTTTTAGAAAAGCTACTTATTGTTAATTGAAATAAATATTTAATAAAGCTGCATTGTACTAAAATATGTGTTACAGAATAAAAAAAGCCACAGAAACTGTACTTGCTTGATGTTTGTTTCAAATACACTGGCTTAAGCATACAACGAACATTCAACGAGCATACAACGAACATACAACACAAATTAACAATTTTTAAAAGCATAGTTGAATTTGAGTGGCTGAAAATTGTTGCAGATGCAGATGACAGTATGCAAATATTATATGTTACAGCCAATTATAATTGACTACCTAAACATATATTAATTAGCTAGTTGTTGAAGATGCCAGCATACTGAAGAATTTGAGAAAGTTAACTTAAATGCTGATACAAAGTGTTTATCACTTCCATAAAGTAATTTCTTATATTTGTTTTCTATAGCTGAAAGCAAATGAATGGTAGATAATGAGCATAGGTATGCTGTCAGACACACTGAACTATGACTGTCAAGCAAAGATGTCACTCTTTTCTTGACATTGATTATTTGGTTATTTTGCAAATATAGAAACAATTTCAAATAAGTTGTCCGCAGACTTGTTCTTGATCAATCGAGGGTTGTAAGGGTTAACTTATTGCACTGTCACATGTGCGTTACTGTTTGCTTTTTGTACATGCACAGTATATTTATGAGAAACTATTGCTTGCAAAGTAAGCGTTATCCGAGGAAATTAGAAAAGCATTTAAACTTACTCTCTGAGATGTGCTTGGTGGTTTATTTTCTTTCCCAGAAGTATAATCAGTATCTGCTTGAAAAGTGGAAGCATTCTGTTTGCCAACTCCAAGATCTAAATATTAAGAAGTACTGAATAACTGTTTAAAATTGACGACTTGACTTATGTAGTAAGTAAACTTACTTACTCTAAGTATAAATACTACCTTCAAAATTAAAAATGTACATAAATTCATAAACTTTTTTTTAATGCCTTGCACTGCAGTTACATTCTAGTTTAGCTGTTACTTGATAGCTAGTGGAAACAGGCATTTTATTGATTATTAGATTTCACAATGTAGTGAAGAAAAAAAAAAAAAAAAAAAAAATTCACAACATAAAATCTTTGAACTATCAATACAAATTTTACTTTTATATAAAATAACACAGTCCATACACTATGAAAACAAAGTCAAGAAATTTTCAAAGATTTATTTTCAAACACTTGAGTTTTTTCTTTAATATAAATCAAGTTTTACACATTCATTTTAAATGTAATAAAAGTTAAGTCTTCCACAATACAGAATGATCAGACAATATACAAATAATCTCTTTGGTTTCATGTCTTGCTTATGAATTTTCATTAACATCTTGAGGGGACCAGTGTGCGGAGAACGAAGTGCAGTCACGGAACAGACCCCTCCCCTCCCCTCCCCGAAATGGCACGTCACCACTGGTCCATGCATTTTCAGCGGTTAAGCTCAATTTTACAAAGACCAGCATTTTAATATAATGACCTCAACTTTTGAAGTTACGTACTTAATATACTAATTCTTAATATGTATTAACATAAAGAATATCGCATAAACAGATATAAATAAAACATGTGAAATACTAAAATTATAACTATAAAGATAAAAACAAAATTATAAATATGAAATGTAAACGAAAATTAAGCAACAATTATCTATAGGTAATTAAATTCAAATTTAAAAATTCTGCTGTGTTTGGAATAATTCAAAATGAGGATCGACCCACAAGACAATGATGGCTTTTTTCACCAAACATATGTCGAGCAAGAAAGATGCATCATGCATCGGGAAAGCTGATGTCTTTTGCCATCTGTAATAATGCTGTAAAGTTGCTTTATAATTAACCAAGAAAACCCTATGCTAAGTTTTAAAATATATATAAAAAATGATAACTGGTCTGAATTTTTTCATAATGACCCATATTACAGCCACTATAGTCAAGCAGATGAGTTTTCCCACATTTTCCCTAAAAAAAAAAAAAAAAAGAGAGAGAGAGAATGATTCCACTTCTCCACATTCTAATAATGAAAAACAAAATTTCTAACAAAATAAATAAAAACGCTGCTGGTATCCCTTTAACTTAAGCCCACCAGCGGCCGAGCGATAAAGTCGCTGAACACTAGTAGTTCGGTCCGAGGTTCGAATCCCGCGAACGGGCTGGCTGCATGGGTGTTTCCGTGGTTTTCCCCATGTGTAACGTGTATACGAGCCAGTTTCCCTTAGAAAGTCCTCCACAAAGGCATCCCTACCCTTAGGCAGATAGCCCCAGTGTGCTTTGCCATAATTAAATACACCACACCACACCCTTTAACTTAAAAAGTTGTGATTCTCAGTTTGTTTACACCAATAAATCTATCAAAACCAGAAGCACAGAACAGAAACTGATGCTCACACATGAAGGTCAAAAGCCACATGGCTTAACCAACGTGAAAACCATTACCATTTAGCACCATCTACTGGCATTTAAAAATTCAAATAAATCGTTCCACTGTCAAAATAAGCATATGGAAGCTGGGCTGAAGAGAAAGATTGGAGCTCTTCGCATATAAGTGGTGTTAGTCTGGTAAGAGTGGAATCATTGTGTTGCGCCTACAGGACATGGGTCTTGAACAGGTTAAGCAGTAAAAGCAAATAAAGATCTTTTAAGATCATCTTAACATTTTAAAATGATTGACTGAATTAGTCAAATTTTATGATGATTTTAACATTTAAAAAACATGTTTAAGATATAATTAAAAATAATGAACAAAGAGATTATTTGCTTGAAAAGTGAATCAACTTTAAGTAATCAATCAAAAGAATTAGAATGTATCCCTTATCTTTCATCGTTATCCTTCAAATATGTTATTTATGCAGGAAATCACAAAAATTAAAATGATATCTGAAAAAATATTTGTTGAAAGATGATTGAACAGATTTTGCTGAAATTTATAATTCCATACAGAAAACAAAAAATTATCTTACATTTTACTTGTATGTAAATTCAAAAGGCCAATTAGCTTTCATCTCCCCTTTAAATAATTATTTGATTGCAGCTTTTAACACTGAAGAGAATTATTATATATGATGAATATATTTAATGGAAATAGAAAAATTTGGGTTTTAGCAACATTTAATCTAATTTTCAAATTTTCCTTTAAAAACCATATTTATTTTAATACTATAGCACAATAATACTTATTAACAATTCTCACCAAATGCTGATTTTGCTTTAGAAAATTTTGTTTCTGGAACTGAAGGTTCTTCAAGAGAAGATTTATGCCTCTTAGATGACCTTGTCTCAGGCTTAGTTGATTCATATGTTGAAGATGAAGTGACACTAGATTGTGCTGGAGCAGCAGCAGCACCACCAAATATATCTCCATAATATTCCCAATCATCAGCATTAAGAATTTCTCGTAACTGACGAAATTTTTCATCGGTGATACACATTTTTCTTTCTAATTCCGCTTGTTTAGCAGCTAATCTCTTCTCCTTTAAATATAAAATTTTAAACATTAAAATGACTGAAGACTTTCTTCTAATGGTCTGTCCATATTATTAACACACTAATTTTATCCTTTATCATTTTATTTACAATGAGAAAAATACTACATTAAGTAAATAACATAACTAAAAGAACTAAAAGAAAAATAATGAATTTTGAGAAATATCTTTTAAACATGCTTATAACTAATTACGGCAAAAAATAATAGCATTAAGGCTATGATCCAATTTATTAATAGTATTAATCATTAATTGCATTAAATACATTATCAACAAAGTGGATCCAAGTTTTGCTTTATATGCTTTATTAGCTGAACAAAGCAGCTACAGTTTCAACCTAAATTTATGGTTTATGTGATCATATTCCTCAGATGTATAATTTTGCAACCATCACAGTAACAATTTTGTTTATATCTTACATTTCATTTAATATTCTATATGGAAACTTATTCTTCTAAAAATTATGTTACTGCTGAATCAAATTAATATTACTGAAAAAACTCTTAATAAAATAAAACAAAAAAGGCAGAATAGCGAAAAGGTGAAATACAAGTTGTAACTTTATAATCCGATGCTCTGTAATCCAGCAACTCCAATGATCTAACACCTTCTTAATCTACCACTGTTCGCAGTAGATTCAAAAAGTGGGTTTAGCATTAGTGATTCTGTTAGCAGCCTTCAGGATTCAAAATCTGTTCATGCTGCATCTCAGTGTTTGGGTTTTACAATATACTCTTATATTCAATGGTAATATAGCTTTTCAGAGCAAATTTGAGAAGAAATTTACCAAATGCTGTTAAACTTCCATTAAAGGACAATATTTAGTAGGCATTAAACAGATCACTTCCAAGTGAAAATATCTAAGATAATTAAACCTAACATTAATATACTATACTTACAACTGATGTGACATTCTTTTTCCTAGAAGTCCTTTATTTGAATTCTAAATGCGTTAGTGAAAATTCTCACTAAAAAGCCTATTGCATAAAATTTTTTTACCAATATTTATTGAACCTCCCACTTACTTCATTTGAATTTCAGTTTTCTAAGCCAATGAACATGTATCTAAACAGCAAGAAGGACTCGTTTGGGGAGCTCTGATAGTTCCATAGCAGAAACAAATAGAAAATTCCGTTTTTAATAACCATCTCAATAATCCTGTTGTGTGGAAAAAATATATTGATGACATATTTGTCCTCTAGAAATACCCAGAAGAATTTAAGACATTTTTAGTGTGTATTTTGGAAAACATCTCTGACTTGCAGTTTACTGTTAATAGCGACAAAGAAGGAATAAAAATCTTGGGGAGAGGATAAATAACAAGTAGGAGCTTTCACAGATGCCAGTTCCATCTGATGGGTTATCTCCAAAAGCTCCTGCACTTACTTAGGTTTAAATGTGATTTTAGCATCGCAACCTAGAACACTTGATCTTGTTTTTGACTTAATTTTGCTCTTATCGCAAGATAACACATAAGCCACATATTTCATGTTATATAACAAATTAACTGTCAAGTGACAACAGCTGTGATGGCAGGCATTTTTGGAGAAACTCATTTCCAGTTTTTATCAGTTGACCAACAGCAGTAACATCTTTATGTCATATATCAGGCTCATTATCAAACTGCTACAATATATTTATAAACTGGTTATGAAAATACCGACTATGGTAACATAATGCTTCAATTAGCAAAATTTTGCACATTAAGCAAAGCATTAAGTTTAAATTAAAAGAATATAATACCAATACCATTATTCTTCTCATGCGATCCTTTTCTAGAGCTAGCTTTTCTTGCATTTTTAATTTAACATGTTGAACTTCTTTTTCTTGCTCAGAGAGGATTTTATCTTTGGTGCTCATCTACAAAGAAATTCTTTTCAGATTTTTTAATACAAAGTATTAAAAAATGATTTAATGAACTTTTTATAACTCAAAATTTTTAAAACACTTCGATGTTCAATGAAAAATAAAATTTATATTTTGAACAAAATTAATTATGAACACTCATTTTATTGGAATATTATGTGCACTTACAAACATTAATTTAAAAAATTAATAGAATAATTAAATATTTTACCTCACCTTCCACAAAGTGCACAATTACAAATAAATGCTTTTATTAAATATATTTGAAAATTTTCATCGCAGATCTGTTAAAAATTTTAACTAAATCTGTTAAAAATTACAAATTTCTGTTAAAAAAACATACTTTCATTTTCACATTCTAACTAAAAATTGTACTCCAGGTATAAAACTTTTAAAAAATTGTAAATATCACGATTATGGAGTAGCCATGAGTTGAACATAAAATCACCATCTTGCAAATGTTATTAGGAAATGCAGAAAACAGCTTTAAAACCTGAAATTTTGCAGCTTCTACTTCATTCTTGGCATCTGATAATTGTTTCTGTAACATTTCTACAGTCTGTTCTGATGCAGAAAGTTTTCTTTCCAAGGATCTAACTTGTTGTTCACGAGCATCCAAATCCATTTGTAAAATAATTTTTTCCTATAAAAATTCACGAATGGTGATATAAATAAAAATGCATACAAAGTATGTAAGTTTTACAATCATATTATAATGAATTTTTTTATTCCAATTTAAAGTTTGAATGCATACCTGTTTTAGTTGGACATTTTCTTTATCTATATCCATCAAATTCTTTCTGAAATCTTCCTCTAACAAAGAAAGGAAAAATGAGTTTTAATGAACATGACAAGACAAATTTCTATTTTGAGCTTAGACTCATTATAAAAACATTCTTAAAATATGAAATTCTTACGCCTTCGAACTAAGTCTTGAACAAAGGAATTTCTACGTGCTATTCTATTCCCGAGGAATTCAATCAAATTTATATAAACTGATTCATCATCAGAAGTATGAACCTAGAGAGAAATATTTCCAGATTTAGAAGACAAAAGTAGAAAGTTAAAAGAAATAAAAGTATTTTAATCTAGTTTAATACACATAAGGTTAATTTATATATAAGGAGGTAATTCTCTTTAAGCAGTACTTCCTTCATAGCTCATTACAAATTACATCAATTGAGATTCCGTGTATGTAATACATTCACTACTTGCTTTGTTTAAATTAGTCCATTAAATTATACAAAGAAAAGATTTATATCATCTTAGATACAGAATGATTGTACAATGATAGACAGCAGTTAATAAATAATGTTCTAAAGCTTCCGGGAAAAAAATTATATCACATTTCTTTTACATTAAGATCACCAACTGAAATCAGTCTGATACTGTCTGGACGAATTCAGATAAACAGCAAAAATTATTTGCACATGAAACATATAAATTGCAATCACATGCAGAATGTTAAGAAAATTAACTTAAGTGGACTTTTCATACTCTTGAACATGCCAAAAATAAAATAAACATTTCAGATCATGTTGAATATACTTTTAATTTCTTCTTCTTTATAAACTTCACAGCCTGTTACAGGCCAGGACTCTCTCTCCAACCTTCCTCCACCTGACCTTATTCGGCACAACAGCCTTCCATCGGCTACCTCCAATTAACCTTAAATCTTGCTCAACATCATCTATCTATCTAGCAGGTAGTCTTCCTTTTCGTCTTACTCCCTCAATTCTTGAAAAGGTTATTGTTTTGGTTGTAAATCCATCATCATATCTAAACACATGGCCCAGCCATCCTTAGCATTTATGCTAAAATATGTTTGCATTTTTAAATGAAAAATTAATTACAATTTTTAAATGCAGTAATAAAGCATGTTGTAATCTCAAATAAATATTAAAATTTACAAGCAGCTCATGAAAATTTTGTCAGGGAGGCTTTTGACCCATCTTTGCTTGGGCTTGAAAGCTCCAAGAAGAGGGACATTCATGATTTAAGGATAATGATTTAAGGATAATAATTAAGTATAAAAAATTGATTCAAACTGGATCCAGTTTTAAAGGAAGTTCTTAAGGATTTTCTCAGAATTAAAATGCAATATATAAAGAACAGTCCTTAAGGAGTTCATACCATCTTTCGATCATATAAAATATAATGATTATAATAATTTATTAAAATATAGACTTACAATAAGCTGGGGAAATTCCGGACCCAAACTGTAAACTACTGGTGCCAAAATCTCAGATACTGGAACTGAAATGCAATTTATATTACAATAATATTAGCTTGATCTCAAAGCATTTAATATAGTTACATTTTATATATTTTTCTATGCTAATATATGTATTTAGAGAGAGAGCATATACACAATTAAATGTAAGTAAAAAGATAAACTCAGTACTTTGTAAGCCTTATTTTATGCTTGTAACAATAAAAATCTCACAAAAATATAAATTAACTGGAATCAAAAGAATTCAAAAGATAAATTTATTCCTACAAATTTTATAAGAACATATAAGAAATTTTGATATTTAGAACAAAATTAAGAAACATTAATAATAATAAAAATATCTATTAAAAAAAGTAAACAAGGAAATCATCAAATAGGGAAGATAACATAAAATAAAACCTTAGGGGAAAAAAAAATATATATAGTACAGTTTGACTACATAAAATGCTTCTTTCATACTTGAAAAATAACTATTAATATTTGCTTTGGCAGAAAAAAATTAGCGGTTAGATTTGAAAATATGAACTATTTTAGCCTAGCAGATGATTTTTTATTGGCCACTTGCAAGTAGTCCAACTTAGAATAAATTTTAGGCACAAGGGAAAATGGAGTTGGTGCGAGAACATTTTCGTACATTATGATGATTTTCCACGATTTTAAAGTGGGATTAAATTAAGAACGCATTCATCGTTTACAATTAGCATTTGGAAATGAAGGTCTATCTTGTTCTACTATATTTAGATGGTTTAGAGAATTTCACAGTGGTCGCAATTCTCTTCAGGATGAAGAATACACAGGAAGGCCATTGTCAGCAGTAATCCCAAATAACGTGTTTGCTATATGGATGATGTTAATTGATGATAATCACTGCACCAACTAAATAATACAGAAGGAACTTAACATTGGATCTGCCTTCATACATAAAATTATGCATGAAGAATTGTATGTGAAAAAACTAGCTTGTCTTTGGGTTCTGCATAATTTAACTGAGCACGAAAAAAAGAAACATGTCAGAATCAATAAAGAAACCCTTAAATTACTTAAAGAAGGTAGCCACCACATTATTTCTAAAACCGTAACTAGTGATGAAATATACATACCATTTTTTGACTTTCGAATATGTCAAGACATTAAAGTACGGATCTTTGAAGATGATCCATGGGCACAATGTTGAAAAAGACATCATTCCTTAAAAAAAGTAATGTATGCCATTTTCTTCAGAAGTACAAGACTGGTTAAAGCCATCAAGCTAGAAAGGCATAAGACTATCACAGCCAACAGATACACCACTAAGTGTCCTCCAGAAATTCTTCAAGAAGTGAATGTTACAGAACTCATGTTCTGTTATGACAATGCGCCCTGTCATTTAGTAAGATTAACAGTTGAGTTTTTTTAACAAAAATAGAGTGATAGAACATCCACCCTATTCACTCATTCTAGCTATGTCCGACTTTTGGCTATTTCTTAATCCAAAAAAGAACTTATATAGACGTTGCATTCACTTTGAAGATGAGGCTATAAATGCATTGTTTTCATCAGTTCTAAGAAATGAATGGCTTAAGGCATTTAATCTTTGGAAAATTTGCCTAAAGAGGCGCATTGATGCCAGAGGAGACTACTTTAAACACTCCTAAAATTTGATAAATATAACTTTAAAAACCTATGTGTATCTCCAAAATGACCCTTATAATTTGGTAACTTTAAAGTAGCAAGATATTTGAGTTAAATATGGCAATTAGAAGAAATGCCAAATAAATCCTCTATTGCACATTTTCACAACTGGCTATTACTTTTATCTTGTAAGAAATTTGAAATCATACAAAGTGAGTTTTACTTTATACATGTATTTTATTTCACATAATTTGAAAAATAATATATATGATTGTGTAATGACATACTTAGAGATACTGGCATCAGATTTTACTAGCATGAATTTTAAATTTATGCATAATCAGAATATATTTGCTTGTGATGAAAAAAAATCAGAAAATATAAGCCAATTCGACCACAAAAAGACACTTGCATCTTAAAACACGAGTGCCGATATTTAAAAAATAAACAACCATTCTTGTTAGACGTTCCTATATTACAGTATCATATGGTTATACTATACATAATTTGCCAAATTCTCATATGTAAATACATAAGCATAATGGGTCGATAAAATGAGTACCAAGTTTGCTTGGGGACTAAACACTGGGGGGGGGGCCTGCGAAAAGCTGACCACTTGCCCAGGGCATATGCTGATGCACCCCAGGGCCCAAGGTCAAGAAGATTTCAGGGCATTGCAAGCAGTGGCCCACTAGAGCTGTTGCGCCAATGAGTTTAGTTGTAAATACATAAGCATAAGGGCAAATTATTCTTCTAATATTCTTAGTTTACTCTTCATATAATTAATTTTGAATATACTTTTAAAATATTTAGATGTTACATGTATATAATTTATGACATCGCAATCCAGACTACTTTAAAATGATAAGATTGCCTGTAAGACTATGCATGCGAATTTTGATACTTTTATACTACAAAGAGGATTAGTTTTACCTCTTTGTTCTTTAGCCTGTTTGACAGCTTCCCGATAGATATTGCCTCTTCCTGATTTTAAGCCTAATATGGTTGGCGTTGATACTGGAGTTGGTCTTGTAATCAATACATCTTGAGTCATTTCAGCAAATCTCATAACATGCTGTAAAGTATTTGAATATTAGCATGCATTACATTAAACTAACATGCCTTTTCAAAATATAATCTTTATAGGTAATCACATTTAACATAAAAAAGAAAGGTACAAAGTACTGTTTACCTCTTTAAAGTAATCAAAATGAAACATGATAATCTCAACAATTGTATGAAAAGGAAATAAAAAGAATTTTTATAAATATAATTTGATTAACTAATACTGTTTAATTTCCTTTTCTTTAAATTAAATTATGTAGCCAGCTTCTATTGCAACAGCCCTCTAAAGAGAGATGAAACAGAATAGCTATTGTACGGAACCTTATATGACAGCTATCCAAAACATGACAACATTCCATTTGATTAAAATATTTAATTGCTAATGAATTACACTATCATAATAATTTATATACATAAATGTAATTCAAATAATCAAACAATTTTATGTTCAATCAATCAATCAATGTAATCAAACAAAAAATTTTTAGTAAAAAATTTATCAGTAAAATTAGTAAAAATAACATGCTGAATAACAATATTAGGGAGTTCAAACAACAGGAATCGCAGGTAATTTTTATAAACTAGTCTTCACTCCTGCAGCTCAAAGATTCTATATACAGTCAAAAGTCGTTAATTTGGACACCCATAATCTGGACCTCAAAGCTACAAACTTTCCGCGCATGCGTCGTTTCGACGCATGCGCATAGGCGTTTACGCGTGCGCGTAAGATTTTTACAGCTGCGAATATGCATGTGCGCAAGTGCATAATACGTTTACGCATGCACTTTTAATGCATAACAGATGGTATAAACTAAGCTAAAATTATCTAATTCAGTTAATGTTGCAGATTGCGTTGTTCCTTAATATTCGAATTGGATCCGGCTTATTATTTTTTGCAGACTGTTAGAGCAATTTTTATAAAAGTAAGCTGAATTTTCGATTATGTCAATAGAATTTCCGATATATTTACTAATATGTAAGGATCTACAAAGCAAAAGTATGTTTTGAAATCCAAAATCGTTGATCGATTTCACGCTGCTCTGCGGCAGGGGGGGGGAGAAAACGAAACATGGCAATGAATTGGAAGTTGATCTGTCAGCACTATCCTTACTTCAGGGCAGATGTTTTTATTATTTGGCTTAGATTCCTTACAGTGTATATTTCATCTTGATATATCAAGTTCGGCGTCATTATAATTCGCTTCCGACAGTGAAGAAAGTGACAGGAGAGTTATTGAAAACTAAAAAATTTCGATCGACAAATTAGTCGGTATTCTCGACACAGCAATTATAGGACTTGAAACGTGGAACTTTGTAACTAAACAAGATTATGTCTGTTTAACAGAGAATTAAAGAGAAAGTATTATCAATGAATGGAGCAACTTAAACAACTTACATTGAAAGAAAATGTTTAATAAAGTAAACAAATAAATATTAAGCTTTTCTTCTGTAAATTTTGATACCTTTAGATCATGATTGTTCTTTATTTCATAAATTAAGGTTTATTTTTTAATTGTAATTTCTGCATGCCATTTACCAGATTTAAAACTATGATCTATAATCGGAAACGATAATCTCTATCGCCGATCCCGAAGCTATTAACGATGACTGTCCAACCTTTGAAATCGCACAAAAATACTGGATTTCTGTTGCTTGAACTCTTTAAAACGTCTAAAATATTTAAATTTCATTTAATTTATTGTAAAGATAAAAAAAAAAAATGTACATAGCAAAAATCAATCTCAGGAAAGAGGCACAGGCTCAACAGAGATTCAAATAAGTTGTGTGGGGACAAACAGATGGTCAAATTTTGAAAGTGATGAATGTAATGTTTGCTTGCATTTTTTTATTCAGTACCGCTCATGATCAGTATTTAAGATGTTGATGTTGTATTTCAACAGGATTTGAACCAAAGCAAACGTTTGACTCCGGTGGTCGGTTTTTTACAGTCTGCATATAAGCCAGTTGCCTTAAAAACCCTTCAACTGCAATCTGGATAGATCACACAGGTATTCTGTGAGTTTTAATTGGCAGTTATTATCTAACACAGGTCATAGCCACATTTTAGTTAAAAATAAGCACCTATAACCCTTTTCAAAGCACATTTAGGGGGAAAAAATAAGCACTCTGTCAATTCATATACACAACTGCAACCTTAAAAGAAAAATAAGACTGTAATTTAAAATATGAAATTCAGTATTTCTAAGAAGAATGAGCAACTCAGCCTGGAAAACAATTACATACGTTTTTTTTAATTTTAAATACAGTTCAATTACAGAACTAGTTACAATACAGAAAAAAAAAGGAGAACAAAATTTACGTGAAATGTTAAGGATGAATTTCAGTGAACAAAAAAATAAGGAAAAAGAATAGGTCAGATTTAGGGGCGGGAAAAGGAGAATAAAGGCAAGGGGGGGCCCATTCAGATTGATATTAACTAAGTAAATCGAAATTCTGAAATTGGAAATTTCTCGTAGCAGTTTCCCTTCACAGATTTGCAAGCAAGTATTTAATTGAAAAAGAGGAACATTTTAAATCAGAAGACGAAATTTGTTGTGCATTCATCCTTAACAGTAAAAGATTAACGAGCCACTACTTGCAAATGGCGACGTTAGTAGTGGACGTTCTTTGAAAAAGAGGAGCGGGAGGGGGGGGTAGACCTGTAAGCCGTTTTTAGATTTTTTACTAAACATCCTTTTGAATTCGATTGTGCATAATATAAAATCAAACGCGGAAAAAATATTCTGCTGGCAAGCACAGTTAAAACTCTTTTAAGTGTTCAAACAATCTAGAACGAACATCAAATAATTATCTCAAAAATAGCAAACGTTATTGCACAATAATGAGCGTAATTTTCCTAATAATTACGCATCGGAATTAACAGCTGCTGGTGTTCGTAGAATAAAGAACTAAATAGAGGAAAGAAAGAGCCTACCATCTGGGGCGTTTTTCATAAAGTTTGAACAGACTGTGATAAATTTCTGAAAAGAATCTTCTTCGCTGGTTGGTAGACGCAGAACTATAGTCCTATTCAATCCAGATTGGAAAGTGACAAAGAAAAAAAAAAAAAAAAAAGAAAAAAGAAAAAGGGTCGTTGCTTGTTTGCAGCGAACTGTAACAGTTCATATCGGATTTGCGAGAAAGGGGAGACCTCCACTTCTACTGGAATGACTGCCAAAAAATGAATTATTTTACGATTGATTACTTTCCCTTACTTAGCTTCCGAATATTATTCTTAGAAAACTAATCTAGTTAAAATACAACCATTTTGGAAGTACTATACTTCACAGTTACTGCACGATGTTATTATAACCTTCATACATAATATCACCTATAAGCTAGACAAAGGGAACCACGAATATGAATGACCACACTTCGAGAACAATTATTAAGATCTTGATAGAAAAGTCAACTTGTAGTATTTGGGTGGGAGAAAGAAGCCGAATGTACGGATTTTCTACTGCTTTCGAAATTCTTTGACCAACAGAATGACGGGCACCTGTCTGTACTCTCCGTTCACACCAAAAGTTATGTTAATGCAAGAAAGGCGAAAGCTTTTCGAAATATGATCACCATTGACATTCCATACTAGAAGAAAAGTGTTTTTTTGTTCGGCTTTGGTACGGGGAACAATTTGAGTTCAGTAAAAAAGGCATAAAGCAAAAAATAAGCACTAAAACAAAAAAAATAGGGTTTAAAGAAAAAGAAAGCACTATAAGGCCTTTATATTTATTTTAAAATATAAGGCTTATAACATATAGAACGTTACGACCTGTAACACCTTAATTGCACTCCCACTTACGAATAAGCCCTTGTCTTAGTCAAAAAAAAGTTTTTGTGTTTTTTTTTTTTTTTTTTTTTTCCCCTTTATCAGAAAAAGCACTTGTATTAGTTCAAGAATTGAATGAATTTTAAACCTTCTTCAGATAAATCCCTTACACACTGAATTTTTTGTCATTTGAAATATAATCTTTAAAGGAGAAATTTTCTAAAGTATCAATGTTTATTCATATCAGTGAGCAAAAAGATAACTTGTGACGTTTTACGAAATGTCAAGAAATTTTTATAGAGACTCTTCTCAACATACTGCCTAATGAAATTCATTACTACTCATTTATAAGGAAACTTAACCCAAATTGGTTTTACTAATTAGAATAATAATTAGTACATACCCGCAAATTGTTTCATTTCTTAATATCTCAATAATTCAATTTATATTTCAATTTTCCATAATGCTTTTTGAAGCTCTGGATTAATCTTTGATCTGTAAGTTGTTAAAAAAAAAAAAAAAAAAAAAAAAAAAAAAAGAGGTGACATGGAAGAAAAAAGAAAATTAAATTTTACAGATAGCTCCTTCAATGCCTTGAAAGATTTGGAATGCAATTATAAAGGAATCTTGTTTCTCTGATATAAGTTTTCTGGATGGACCAAATTTTACACCTGTTCTTGAATATCACATTTCCTTGCTACTTTTTAGTCTTTGCATAATAGAGCATAGGCAAATTTTTTATGCCTTCAGGCAATCAGCTAACAATTTAAAATATAATTCCACTTTAAAATTCCCCCCCCCAAAGAAAAGCAACTTTAAATTCACATATACATTTTAAAGAGTTTCTATTTTGTCAGCATTCAATTTATTACTTAAATGCATTCTTTCCAGTATTAATAAAAGTATTTTCATTAGAGTTTCCTTTAATAAGAGTCTACAATTTAGAATTTTAAAACTAGGGAACTGAGGTTGTGAATTCATTGTCAATACTGAGCAAATATCTATGCTTTTATCTTTAAAATCTAATCATTTACAAGCATAAAAATTTTAGTTTGTCTACAGATTCTAAAATCTTCACCGCTAACGGATTACCAACACTAAATGCTTATGATAAGTCTCCACCGTTTGACAAAAAAGGCACCACCACCAAGTTAAGGCTAAAATTGATGTAAAATGTCATTAGTCATTTTGTATCAGCATCATATATTTTTTCATGCAAAAATGCAGAACTTTGAGATGAAT